CCCCCCCCCCCCCCCCCCCCCCCCCGACAGAGACAGAGAAGGTCTTTCTGGAGGTTCAGATGTGAAGAACAGAGAACCAGGATGGGGTTTCCCAGCGCAGCCGCTTCCTCTGCAAAAGTCCAAGGTGGTTCCCTGGCTTTCATTCTTCCTCTCCCCGACTGTGGCGAGGCGTGGGCACCAGTCAGCCCAGCATGCGCCCCCTCCTCCCTCCCTCCCAGGGGCAGCTCTAGCTGGAGGCCCTCTGCTTCCATGGCCCCCTCTCGGCGTGCTCGGAGCCCCAGCGCCCATCTCCTCCAGGCCCACGTGGCAGCTGCAGGATCAGACCAAGCGGCTCCCACCCGTCGCCCTGATGCTGCAGCGGGAAGCTCACCCCAGACACAAAGGCCTGGCCGCCCCATCTGGTGCTTCGGGCTGCTAAATCTGGGATAAGGACCGAGCAAACCTACCCAGGGCCCCTCTTAAAAAATAAGTGGCCTCCTTGAGACAAACGGACTCTTGTTCGTCCATGCAGAAGGGAGACGCTGGGCCCCAGTCAAGATGAGGACAGTTGGGGGGGGGAGATCAAAGGTGAAGCCCCCCCGAAGGCAGGGCTCTACTTTAGACCAGGTTCCCATGCCTCTTCATGAGAAGGACAGGGCTTTTACCGACGCGCAGGAGACGCAGCTCACTCCTAGCACAGAAAGCCCCACGGAGCTCCGCCAGCACAACTTAAAAAGGGAACGAGGAAGAGGCTCTCGCCACCTGCACTCTCGGAAAGGAGCTGCAGCGACGCCTGATCTGGGCCAGGGCGGGCTCCCACGGGCTCCTCGGCTTCACAACCCAACCAGGCTTTCCAGGCAGCTGCGGGTCCCTCTAGTTCACCCCCGTTGCCCCTCCAAAACATTGACGCCCTGCCTGGGAATCCTGGCAGAGGGATCCCTGGAGGTGGCACCGAGGAGCCTTCAAGGCTTTCCCTGAGGTCTGGACAAGTCTCGGGGGTCTCTGGGCTTCTCAGCTCCCTATAGGCCCTCGAGGCAGGAAGGATCCCAATTCCTCGTGAGCACAAAAAAAGCTGGCGGGGGGAGGACGCCTCCCACTTTCTCCGGATTCGGATCTGCACGGGGGGGGAGGGGGGAGAGGCCAACAAAATGCATCGATTACTGTTATTATGTGCTTTTTCTGAGGACTGCAATTTTGTGCCTTCTTCCCTGGAAATAAGCCCCATCAGCAAAACTCAGTTTTGAAACTAGTCTAACAGAGCACTGTGGGGTGAAATTTGCATTCATTTTAAAAATAAACTCCAGGGTTTCCTGGTGGGCAGCTGTGCAGCCTGTCCCCCCACCCCCACCCCAACCACATATTTGTGTTCTGCTGCATTTGTTCACAGGCTACTTCACACGTTGTTATTTCACAGCATTCTGCCTCTTCCCAACCCGACTCGCTCTAGGCCTAATCCGGTACCAGGAACTGGGCCTCCGGCTGACGGGTCAAGCCTATGCCGGCTCCGCATAAACCCGAGTACCCTTCCTCGCCCTTCAATTACACATCACTTAAACGAAGGAATTAGGAAGAACATTATCCGTTCTACGTAAGAAAAACACTTCCAACTTTTAACCTATTCAGTTTTCCAAATTAACTCAACCCCTCGGAACACTGTTCACATAACACATTTTGGAAAAGTTGGGCAAAGGTTTGGCAAAGATTCAGAGGCTGCCTGCACACCCAACACATCAAGCTTGCTTAACGTTTACTCTGCTGGAGCTTCCTCAGCATGTGTGTGTGTATTAAAAGTTTTAAAAAGGAAGATAAAAACGAATGCAAGCTAATATAAAGTAAGGAAGAAGGAAGAAATCGAAGAGAAAGCTGAAAGTGCAAGAAAGGAAAAAAAGAGTAAAAATAGAAAAGAAAGGAAAAAGATACAAAGAAGTGGCTTCCTATCTTCTTTACAGCAGATATAAGTACAATTATAAATTTACCTCTTGCTCTAAAGTTACATCGTAACTCTCCTCTTTCTATAATCTATCCTGTCTAATCCCCAAAACCATAAATGATAAGTTCATTTTTTTCTGTTTTGTGCAAAAAGTCCATAAGGGGTTCCCAGTCGGCAATAAACGTAGTTATTGTCTTTTCTCTGATCAAAGAACTCCGTTTAGCCATCTCAGCAAGTTCCATCATCTTCACCAACCATTCTTCCACTGTAGGCATTGCCAAATCCTTCCATCTTTGTGCATACAACAATCTCGCTGCAGTTATCATGTACGAAAACAAAGTTCTATGACTTTTTTCCCAACTGTTCGTCCATCAATCCCCAAAGAAGAAACTCTGGTCTCAACTGCATATTAATCTTTAAAATCCTCTGAGTCAGTGTATGTATTTTAATCAAAATTTTCTATACTTTTTACATGTCCACCAAGCACGATAAAATGTCCTTTCTTGTTGTTCCCATTTCCAGCATCAGTTTGAAGGGCCTTTGTTTGGGCTTCTTCGTGACCTACAGTATTGTGCAAACTCAGCTTAGTGTTTTGTGCAAATCCAGAAAACAGTGAAGCAGCCGGGCAAAATGTGTTGTGCAAATGGCCCCATATATAAAACAAATAGTGACCATTATTTTAGTAACCACCCTCCCAGGTAGGCCATACCCACATCTTGCTCTTACAAGACACTAGTCCTCATAGATGGATCAGTCCAGCCAATCTATCCCTCTGAGAAAGTCAGCCACAGCTCGCCAAAGCTGACACCTTTCAATAACATTTCTGAGTCAGAAAAGCTGCTCCCAGCCTCCTCCTGATTTTTTGCCACCATGAGACTGGCACGGCTCTCCTCCTACAACATATATTGTATGGGGATCTTTACAGTGTGAGTGCACGGGGGTGTGTGTGCGTGCGTGTGTGTTTTGTGCCTTCATGTCCAAAAGGATAACCGATAAAGGGCAGCAGTGCTGCTCCGGAAGCCAAGAAGGAGCCCTGTTCCCCAGCTCCCCTTCCCTGGCTGACGAAGGCCAACCACCCTGCGCAAGCAGGCACTGCTGCCCGACAGTCAACGGAGGATCTGATCTGAAAGCAAAGTCTCAGGGAGACCTTGGACGGCCGGCGTCAGGAGCTGGGCCGCTGTTCCTCTGAAGCCAACGTCTAAGGTAAAATGAACCATGAATCAGAAACACGCCGGTGTGTTTCCCGCAAGAGAGCTGATGCTTCTCATCGAGGACCAGGAGCAGCTAGCGGGACGTCCCTGGAGAGACTACCCGAGTGCCCCGTTTCCCCCTGCTTCTTTGCTGAGGAAGGGCAGAAGTGTTTCTGCTTGCAATGAAGGCGCAGCATCAACAGCAGATTTGGCGCTGTGGCTGCCCCCCGAGGTCTGCCTGGGGAGCCCCCAGCTCCCAACTCCTCACCTCGTGAGGGCCGCCTTTAGCCCATAGCCCGGCTGGCACCCGGCACCCCTTCCGCCCTCGTTCTTCGCAGCCATTCATCCCCCTCCCCGCAATTCCGTCTCCAAAGCCGCCCTGAGCTTCTGCCAGGCACATTCTCTCTAGACGGACTCCGAGGCTTTGGGGTCTGAGGGGCTCTGAACCAGCAGGAGCCCCCACGCAGCACCTTCCGCAACCCCTGAAGCCCCCTCCCCTTTTTCCTGGGATCTCGTGGCTGAAGCTGAAGCTCGATCCCAAGGAAACGCACACCTAGGCACAGCAAAGATCCTGTGGGCGTGAGCACCTGCACACGTGCAGCTGCAGAAGTACAACTGTACACACAGGTAGGTGATAAAGGGTCGGGGAACAGCGTTGGCAGGATCAACATCTGTTTTGCAAACTAAGGTGCCTTCCTTATGCACCCTCGATCATAGTTGGTTGCACCCTGTGCCTCTCTTGTTTTAAGCCATGGTTTACCAAATAAACCACACTGGTTGACACATCACGCTGAGCTGTAAACCAGGGTTTACAATGGGTCCATATGTTGCTTCGCAATAAAATCAAACAAGCTATACCATGGCCGAGTTCACAATACACTCCATGATTTAGCCACGGTTATTGAACAAATGAGAATCCGTTGGGTTCATGACCCACGAAGCTGAGAATCACGGCTTACAAGTCACGCTGGCCAGGTTCACCCAGCATGCTCTGCCTCCCACGAGCAAGCTGGCTTACGGCGTGAACGCGGGCGGTGGCTTAAACGGGCGTGCAAATGCGGTCCGTCCTGAGACTGCTGCTTGGGGGAGCGAACAACTTGCCTGCAACTTCAGGCCGGGGGCAGACGCCTGGCCGGGGCCAGATTTCCGGCCGTTCACGGCTTGGGCGAGGGGAGCGACCCACCTCCGGGGGACTTCGCTACCTACGAGCGGTTTGCCCGCCCTAACGCGCACCGCGCGCCCTCCGGCCGCCTGAACTGACCCGATACAGGGTAGCGAG